TCCAAATTTGTCAACTTTTGCTTATTTTCTTCGATCTCACCAACTTACATCACAATATCAAAATCACACAACTAATTATTTATCAATTACATAAACATTACATCATTAATTATTTAATTAACCAAAAAAATTTTAAAAAACACTATGGGCGATATTTATTTGTAGGACCATGCTATAGATTCATATATATTTATACTTTCATGGGATAAAATGAACCATGTGAGTCTCTACTAGCTTTAACTTTTTCTATCAATTTTTCAAAATTATCTTCCTATTCCTTTTAGATTCGATTTTTATTCATTATTCAGGCTACCAAATCTGGTTTAAGATGGAAGGATTGTAAGCTTTTTTAAGAATTCTATGAATTATATCATTACATTTTGCAATTTCTAAAAAATGAAGATTGACATCACTTTTCACTTTTCAATAATTATAGATACGACGAATCAGAACGGCGAAGAGATATTTCATCGAGAACAAAAAACAATAATGATTGTACCACTAAAAACGCGTTTAACAATTTCATACAAAATTGAAGGTATGATTGATGTATTATTCTAGATTGGTAAATTTAAATATTGAATATAAAATAATTGTGCGTGAATGACCAACAATTTGTTGCTTGATTAGTTAGATTTGTTTTACATAATTTGAAATATTAAAATAAATATTTTGTTTTCTTATTTCATAATATGACAATATCCTACTTTTATGGGTCGATGCAATTTGCTAAGATTAGAATACCGAATGAATTCAATTTTCTATTTCTTCCCAATCGAAAGAATGTGTTTCGTTGGAGGTTAAGTAGGTCACCTAGGATTCAGAATCACTCAAATCATAACATCTCGTGATTTGAGTGGTTCAGAGTCCATTATTAAATAATTAAAGATAATTATTGAATGGTAAGATTTGAGTGGTTCGAAGTTCATTATTAACGAATTAAAGATAATTATTGAGTAGTAGGTTGTTAACCTAATTTCAGTTACTTCAGCTAGACAAAAGCACGATAGTGTATGATGCGTTTGGTGAATCGGACTATTTTTTTCTAGCAGTATTGCTATGGACTTTGTAGGCATGCTTCAAAGCGAGCCCCAAAACACATTGCAAGGGATAGAATTTTAACCTACCTCAGTGATTTACGGGATTAGCACCCACAAGTGACATTTATTACCCGCAACTTATCGCAAGTGTGACAGCCGACAAGGTCAAAAGCAATTAAATGTAGATTGAAGAATTAATTATTGAGTATTGCTATTTAGCAATTTCAGTTTATGTAGCGTTAATATGACATTAAATGATAATTGAAATTAAATGAATCATTTAATTTTACCTTTCATTTTGCCTATCACCTAATACTACATAGATTGAGATTATAGTCTCAGTGGGAATAAATAACATTATTCATTTTTTTCTCTATCAATCTGTTCGGCTTGTAGTTGCATCTAACAAAGCAATTAGAACATCTTTTTTGCCTATTTTATTACTTTATAATGTCTCGACTAATTTTGCAAAAAGCAACCATGAAAAAACGTACAAGAAAAATCCCAAAACTAAAGCTAGAAGAGAGAAGGATTATTCTTGGTGTACTAGAGGGGTTTCATAGAACCCCTCTAAAACACACACAATAGGTGGGGGGTTTGAGTTTTTTATGAGGTGAGTCCCACACGGGGGCCCCATCAAGGCCGACCTTGACTCAAGGCAACCTAAGCCACTGCCTTGTGCCTCAAATTCTAAGGGGCCTCGAAAAATTAAAAGCCCAAAAATTTAACAAAAAAAATTCTTTTCTTTTTTGAGTTGGGTCACTCGTTCCATTTAAAAAGTGGAAATTACACCCCCACCCTACTTTTGAATATCTCAATTCTAAAATCAGGTGGGATTTTTTTCTTTCAAAAATCAGAAATTTGATAAATTAATTATATTA